TTGCCTCCCCCATGGGATGTGAGCTACTTGAGAGAAGGCGCTGTCTTTAAGCTTTCTTTGTATCCCCAGTGCTTAGCTGGCATACAGCAGGCGTTTAATTAATGTTTATTGACTGAATGACATCTACTCATTCTTTCAGTACCCAAGCAGTTCATTTGGACCAAGTGACTTAAATTTATTAAGGGCAGCAAGTGCTCCTCTAATATCTCCTGACTTATCTTGGGTATCAATCTCTATTAACTATTAAGCATTTCCGTTCTGACCTTTGAGCCCAAAGAGCATACTTCGTGGCAGAGAAATGAGAACTGCGTGACACTAACTTCTCTCACTGTTAGTTAGAATCAACCCCAAGCAGTTGTGCTAGCTCTCCTCTTTCCCCAACACAGCTCTCCAACCCAGCCCATCATAGTGTTTCCTTAGCTTTTGTCCCCAACCTCAGCTCAGTCTACATTTTGGTGCTCCTGACACCATTCTTACATTGCCATGCACACTTTTCTATTCATCCTCTATCACCTGCCTTGGCTTCTATCTTCTGGTCACATCTTCTTAAAGTCTAAGTTGGTTGGTGAGCACAATCTGCACAATCATATCAGTTTCCTGGTTTTCCTCATCAATGCAATTCTACGTTCTCAAAATATCATTGAATGAGAGCTCACCAACACTCTGTTGAATTTCAGTCCATGAGAGCCTACCTACCCTTCCTCTGAACCCTCTGAAATCTGCTTTATCAAAACCTGGTGCATGTCAGACTCTGCCCGGCTTTCTTCTCCTTCTTTAGCATAAAATCTAGAAAGGAGCTGTCACATTCTCCAAGGTTTTCATCATTCCACCCCAGCAACCCTGTTAGAATCAGATAGAGAACAGAATTTTTGCTTGTTGATTTTTCCACCTTTCAAAGGATAAAATTATCTTTAAGGCATTTCAAGAAAACATTTACTTGCTTTGCTTGAGAGAGAGAGAGAACTTGAAGAGATTTCTGAAGAACTGAAATCTTTAGTTGCTACTATAGCATGCCTCTGTGGGCTTGTGCCATTTCCCAAACTCGTATATTTCCTTTTGGTCCAGGTAACCTGTACTATGCTCAAATGACAAAACTACTTCTGTTTCTCTTTTCATCTTCATAAACCATGCTCCCCCCTTCCCCTTCACCCCCACTTACAGTTGCTGGATTTTCTCATACAAGTATACAACATAAGACAGAGTGAATGGATTGTACAGAACAAAAGGGTAGGTTAAACTCCCTTCTAAATGACCTGGATTAAGATTAAGACTACTTCTGACCTTGTCTTCTCTTAGTTGTCACTTTCACTTCCATAGCTTCAAATACCACCTTCTATGAACATGATTTGCTCCAGACCCACATCTTAGAAGCAGCTGGAAATCTCCATAAGAATGCACTTCAACACCTCAAACCCCAAATATCTAAAAATTTAGCTTCTTTTCTTTCCCCTAAACCGAATTGTCCTCTAACTTCACCCATGTTCAAAATCTTAGTGGGAACGTTGGTTGTGACAAAGAAGAAAGAGGAAAAGACTCCAGTTACTGAGTCCTGTCCATTCAACTTCTGTAGCGTCTTTCATACCCATCACCTTTTCATTCCCAAGGTCTTTACCACTTCATGTTCTACTCCAGTGCTAAATCCCATAATCCACCTGGTCCACTACAAGTGTCACTTTCTACATTTTCTTACTTCTACTCTTCCACTTCATGCTACTCCCAGATTCTCCTCCTCAGGCATGTAGTCATACCACTCCTCAGGGGCCTCCTACTTACTGCCTATTGAGCAAAATTCTAAGCTCTCTGCCTCACATTCAAGACCTTCCATAACACCCATCCTTCCTTTCTGGCTTTCTCTTGCACTTCTGCCAAACTCCCTCAAACATTCCCTTTACTCACCCTGTTCCTTATACTCTAAATATCATCTTTTGCCTGTTGATTCCAACCCATCATTTAAAGCCCAGCTCAGATGGCAGGCACGTCCTCCAAATAAGTCCCCTCAGACCTCACAGAGGTCATTCTGCTTTTGCACTTACTACTGAGAGGCAGGGAGGGGTGCTGAGGGTAGTGGAAAGAAGGCTGAACCTTTTCTACTTCTTAGCTATGTGACTGTGGGCAAGTCATTCTTCCCCTTTGGCACCTTCATTACTTCATGTGTAAAAGAGGATAGGGGGAGAGGCCTAGACTTGTGATTTCACTGTACAAGGAACTCCCAGAAAAGGAAACTCCTTCTATAGGTGTTAGTCTTAGAGAATTGCCTAGGGCACTGAGAGATTAAGAAACTTGTCCAGGTCAGCAGCCAATATACATCCGAGGTGAAACCTGACATCCACTGGCCTCCCATCTTATTCCATCTGTAAAATGGTTAAAATAATATATGAAGTATAGTACCTATCTCACAGAGTTGTCTTAAAGATCAAAGAAAATAATGTAGGTAAAATACCTTTAAAACTTTAGAGCATCATGTCACCTTTTATATATAGTTTAAAAAATAACATAATATTATGTATTGTGGTTATCTATGCTTATGCATTAGTCTCTATTAGCATATATGTTTCATGAAGACAGAAACACTGTTTTATCAAAGCCTGGTTATCTCTTCAATCGCCTAACAGTGTTCTGTACATAGAAGATATTTAATACATGTTTGTTCAACTGAAGTATTTCCCTTAGCATGTATCTAGGATGAAGACTACCCCGTAGAATGAGACTGGGAACAAACAGGTGCTAACCAAGCAGGTGTTAACTGTTCTAATGCAAAGCAACATTTGAGCCAGCTCATCATCTGCCTATCCTGTCTCTGTTAATATTCAAGTACTAGCAAGGTGCTTGAAAGGTCACCTAATCAATTCTCCTGCTTTAAGGCACAGATGACACCATGGTGAAAATAAAATAGCACCCTAATTTGATGATGAGAATTAAAAGCTACAATGGATCCACACTCGTAATAACAATTCATATGTGAATACTGATTTATAGTTTTTACAAAGTACTTCTCAGTACCTAAAGGAAGAAGACAGTGCTACTAAAAGCACGAATGTTACATATTCATTCACCCAGCCAACCAGACACCATAGAAAGGCAGTCTTCTGTGACACTAAACACTGAATTTGGAGGCAATGCACCTGGTTTCTCCTCCTGCCTTGGTTACTTATTACCTGTGTGATCTTGGATAAGTTACTTCCCTTTCTGGGACCTGTTTCCTCATCTAAAAAGTAAGGAAATATGACTAGATGGTCTCTAGAGTTGCTTCCCAGCTATAAATCCTGCAATCAGCTAAAATCTGCAGAATAGTTGTGGGAGGCACAGCTAGGTACCAATTAGGGCAAATAGAGAATCCTGTAAAGTGGTTGCATTTACTCCAATTCACAATATTTGGAGGTATAACTGTATAATCACTGATTCCAGCCTAGAGGCAGCAAGGTGGCAGAGTGGATAGAGACCTAAATCTGGAGTAAGACTTGAGTTCTGGCCTATGACACTTACTGTGTGACCCTGAACATTACCTACCTCAGTTTCTTCAACTGTAAAATGAGATAAGGGTAACTTCCTCCCAGGGTTGTTGTGAGGCTCAAAGGAGATAATAACTGTAAAACACTTAGCACAGTGCTGACACATGTTGGGTGTTTAATAAATGCTTATTCCCATTTGTCCATCCCCTCACCACCACAATGTACATATGTAATGTGAATGATCATGGCACAGGATGCCTCATTCACACTAAGCAGGAATTAAAACATGGGAAAATACAAAGGTAATTAAGGCATGGAACACAATCTGGCAATGGGGTACAGAAAATATCAGTGCAACCTTAGAGAACATCCTGCCCATCCCCTTCACTTTGGAGAGGAGCAAGCTGAGGCCCAGAGAGGCAAAGTGCCTTGTCTAATAATAATTTTATTTATGTTAATTTGTCTAATAATATTTATGTTGAGATTTCAGGTTTTCAAAGGAAATCAAATCTACCTATACTGCCCCAATCTCTCTGCTGATCTCCAATTTCACACCTCCAACTGTGAACCAGATGATCAGTAGACATCTTAAATTCAATAGATCCAAAACTGAACTTCACTATCTTCCTCCCAAAATTCTCCCCCTCCTACCTTCCCTACTACTATAGAGGACAACCTCATTCTCCCAGGCCCCCAGGTTCACAACCTAGGAGGTATCCTGGATTCCTAGACTGTTGCCAAGGCTTGTCAAGTTCATCTTTACCATCCATTCTCTCCTCTGAAACTGCCACCACTCTGGTGCAGCCCTCATCACCTCACAGCTGGACTACTGCAATAGCTGCTGGTGGGTCTACCTGCTTCAAGCCTCTCCCCACTCCAATCCATCCTCCATTCTGCCATTAAAGTGATTTTCCTAAAGCACAAGTCTGATCATGTCAACTCTCCCTCCCCACCCCTATAAACTCTGGCTTCCTACTGCTTCCAGGAGCAAATACAAAATGCTCTGTTGGCATTCAAAATCCTTCATAACCTAGACCCCTCCTACCTTACGAAACTTCTTACACCTTACTCCATGACAAATACTCCTTGATCCCATGACACTAACTTCCTGGCTGTTTCAAGAACAAGACCTTCTCTTGGCTCCGGGCATTTTCTCTGGCTGTTTCCCATGCCTAGAAGGCTCTCCTCCTGTTTCACCTTCTGACCTCTTCGGTTTCCTTTAAGTCCCAACTAAAATCCCACCACCTACAAGAAGCCTTCCCCAACCCTTCTTAATTCTAGTGTGTTCCCTTGGTTAATTATCTACTATTTAACCTGTATATAGTTTACTTTATCTAGTATTTCTTTGCATGTTGTCCCCTCCATCAGATTGCAAGCTCCTTGAAGTCAGGGATTGTTCTTTTTTATTTTTTTCTATCCCCAGCACATAGCGACTGACACACAGTAGGAACTTAATAAATGTTTACTGATTAACTGACCTTCACAACAATATTAATTACTACTGTCCCCATTATACAGCTGAGGAAACAGGGGCTTTGAGGGGCTATGTACCTTGCCCAACAGCAGTCTCTGAAGCGTAAGAGTCCAAAGCTGGTTTCCTGATGGCAAGTGCAGGCCCCTCACTCCTGGATCTGCCAACCCTCCAGAGTCTGAGCTAATAGAAGTCTGCCTCATAAGGCAGAAAGTCTTCCGGATCAACTAGGAGTCACCAGGCCTAGATATGAAATCCAAGTTATGTACCTACCACTCATGTGATCTCAGTAAAATCACTTAAGCCTTCTGCACCAGTTTTCTGAATTGTGAAATAAAGGGGTTTGTCAGGGTAATCTGCAGATCTAACAGTCTATGGTTCTCTCTAAAATTCTCCTGATTTCCCAAGCGTCCCAGTCCTAAGACCCAGGCTCTCCTCCTAGAAAAGCCACCCTCCCAGGGCCGTCTCAGTTCCTCCATCCCTAGGAAGGCACTAAGATGCACTCCCAGGGCTTTTAACCTGGGATCCATGAAATTTAAAAATCTTCCTCACTGTATTTTAGCATCACTGGTTTCCTTTGTATTCATATGCATTTCATTGGATGCATTTAAAAAGGCAGCTTTAGCACCCAGGGCCTGGCACATAGTAGGCTCTTGATAAATGCTTGTTGACGTTGACTTGACTTGACACCATCCCTGAGAGAAGGGGGTCCCTAGGCTTCGCCAGGCTGCCCGAGGGGTCCAGTCCTCGAAGGAGGTTAGGAACCCCTGGGCTGGGGGTCTCCACAGACCCACCGGGCTGGGTGGGACCTGAACAGGGAGGGTCCCCCCCCCCCCCCCCGCTTCCCAGCCCTCTCAGGAGGGCCCCCGAGGAAGGGCGTTTATGAGGAGGAGCCGTATCTAATGGGAATCAGCTTCAGAGAAGCTCCAATATAGCTGGGGGGGAGGGGGGTGCTGGGCTGGGGAAGGGGGGCGGTGCTGGGCGCAGAGGGGAGGTGCTGGGCTGGGGGAGGGGGTGCTGGGCTGGGGGGGCGGTGGTGGGTGCGGAGGGGGGGGTGCTGGGCGCGGGGTGGGGGGTGTGGATGGACCCAGCCCCTCCCCCTCCACGAGCGGCTCTAGGCCTCCGCAGGTGCTGACTCACGGCCCTCCCCCCCGCCCCCGGGTCCTAGGCCCCCGCCCCCATTCCTCCTACCTGCCTCTCAGGCAGCTGCCCACAGCAGTCACAGACTGGGCCTGTCGCGACAGAACCTCAGAGGTCGCGACGGGACGGAGAGCGGGCAGCTGGGCCTCCTTCCTCTCGCCAGGCCTGGGCCCGCCGCCGCCGTCACCGCCGCCGCGACGTGCTCGCCTCCCCCCGCGGGGCCGGAGCCGGAGCCGGAGCCGGAGTCGGGGGCGGGCCCAGGTTGGGCCGGGCGGGGGCCCGCCCCGGCCCCCGAGGGTCCCTCGGGGCCGCCATAGGATCAGCCGGGGCGGGGAGGTCACCGGGGGTCACTGGGGTCATTTAGGGAGGGGCCGTGACACGAGGTCATTTGGGAAAGGGGCGTGTCTCGGGGTAATTTAGGGATGGGGCTGAGGGGAGTCGGCGGGGTGTTTGTGGGGGGGAGGGGTCGTTCATGGCGGGGGCATGCCACGAGGGTCATTGGGAAGGGGATGTGTCTTTGGAGGTCATTTAGGAGGGGGTGTGTCATGAGGGCTATTTGGGAAAGGGGCACGTCTCCGAGGGTCAGTTGGAGAGGTCACTATGACTGGAGGGTCCCTCGGTGGGGAAGGATCTCTAGAGAACCTAAGACTGGGGCGGTCATTATTTTGGAAAGGTCCTTTTGTTCTCCAGAAGCTTATTGTTCATTTTTACCTTCCTACCCTACTCATCCCTTTCTTCCTACCCTGATAAAGTGTAGGGTTGGGGCCATCTTGACTGGATTTCCCATTCTCACTCCTAAACCCCAAGGTCATGAAGCAGTTTGCCTTGAAGTTATGTCACTACGGTTCTTTTGGGTTAGAAATTTTAATATTTTTCCAGTTCCTGGCCAGTGGTTTCAGTTCCATGGCCTCTTAGTTCATATTCTTTTTCCATCCAGCCTCCTACACCACTTCGTCTCACCTCTTTCTCAATCTTCCTCTCTGTCCCAACTATACTTTTATATATGACTTCAACATATATGTTAATGCTTCCTCCCATACTCTGCTCTTTCAATGCCTAATTATCTTCAACTCCCAGTCACAGTCAGATAATCACACCCATGATCTTGCCATCGCTTATAAGTGTTCCATTTCCAGTCATCTGTCTCCATGCCTTACTTCTCCCAAACCTTATCTTTATCCTCATTTTAATCTCCAATCCCTCCACTCCTCAATCAGGCCTCCTCTGGCTTCACTTTCCTCCCTTTCCAGTCTTAACTTTATAATTAACCAGTTCCGTGTTATAAACACTGTCCTCTACTCCCAAATCTCTTGCCCCCTCATCTTATCCATGCTCAAGCCTTGCCAAACCTCAACTCAAGTTTATTCCTACCATCTCCCTCCTCTGTAGAAGGGTTCTGAAAGGAATCATGTAAACAGAACCTGCTAGGTCCACTACAAATTTATGTTATCTAATATCAGCTGGGCCCCCAGCAGCTCGGCAATCCTTTTACATCTCTCTAATTTATATCAAGGGGCAGCTAGGTGGTACAGTGGATAGGACACTGGGCTTAGAATCAGGAAGTCTCATCTTCTGAGTTTAAATTCAGCCTTAGGCACATACTAGCTGTGTGATCCTAGGCAAGTCATTTAACACTTTGCCTCAGTTCTCCATTTGTAAAACAAGCTGGAGAAGGAAATGGCAAACCATTCCAGTATCTTCACCAAGAAAACCTCAAAATGGGGTCATGAAGAGTCAGACACGACTAAAACAACTAAACAACAAAAATTTATATTTCTCTCTCTCACTATCCACAGAGGCTGTTTCAAACCTACTCTTATCTACTCAAATATCCCATACCTCTCCCTTTCCCCACTTTCTCAGCTGAGGCCCTCACCTGAAAAAATAAAGGCCATTTGCTGTGAGCTACTTTTCTTCTCTAGAATTTAAAAGCCGTTAACATCTCTGTTCTCTTCTCTGTTACTCCAGTGTCTGATGAACTGACCAGCTCTTCTCACCAAGACCAAGGCCCTCTGCATGTATTCTTGATTCTGTCACCTTCCATCTCTTCTTACAGATTGCCACCATAATCATCCTCTTTCTCTCTATAATCTTTAATCTTTGTCTACTGGTTCCTTTCCTGAGACCTACAAATCTATCCAGATCTCCCTTTTAAAAAACTCTTTATTTGACTTCCCCATACTCCCAAGCTATCATCCACTATCTCTCCTACTACCAGATTCCTAGAAAAAGCTATCTACAGTCATTGCCGCTACTTCCTTTTATCTCATTCATTTCTCAATTCTGCAATATGACTTCTGGCTCCATCATTTTCCTCTGATTTTTAATATTTCTTTTGTGCTTATTTTAGGTTTGTTTATTTATTGGTTTCCTAATTTCTTAAATGCATATTTAGTTCATTAATCCTCTCTTCTTCTATTTTGTTAATGTATATTTTTAGGAATATGATTTTTCCCCTGAAAACGACTTTTCCGGCATCCCAACAATTTCGGTGTGTTGTTTCATCAATATCATTTTCTTTAATATAGTTCCATATGGTGGTGTGAAATATATATATTCTTTCTGCAGTAACATTTAGATGTTATAAGTCCTTTAACTAGAATTTCTCAGCAATTTGTTCAGTTCCATATTTTTTATCTTTCATTAGATTTATCCAGAATTGATAGAGGGATATTGAAGTCTCCTGCACTATTGTGTTAGTCTCTGTGTCTTCTTATTACTCAGTTAATGTTTCCTTTATAAATTTGGATGCTAAGGCATTTGAAGTATATAGATTTATTTCTGATATTGGTTTGTTGTCTATGGTTCCTTTCAGCATAATGTAATTTCCTTGTTTATCCTCTTTTTTTTTTGAATGTTTGATTTTACTTTGTCAGAAAGCATGATTGCAACTCCTACTTTTTTGGATTCATGTGATACATAATAAAAAGAAATTTTTTTTCCATTGCCTCAGTTTTATTTTGGGTATATCTTGACTTTTTAAATGTGTTGCTTATAAATAAGAGATTTATAGGGTTTTGTTTTCTTATCTAATCTGTCACTGTTTCATTTTATTGGATTCTTTAATCCATTTACATTTAAAGTTATGAGAGTTAGGTTTATAGTTTCTTCTATTTGTCTCTAATAGTGGATTTTTTTTTCAAGTTATGATAATTTTTCCTTTATCCACTACAAACACAGTACTATGTCTCTTCAGTTACTTTAGCTTAATGTTTTTTTAAGATGGTCCTTTTCCTACTGATTCTCTTCTCTTATCCACCCCCCCATCTGTTACCCCTTTCCCTTTGGAGTTTTGCTTATTAATTCCTTTTCTTTCCTGCTTTTATCTGTTTAATTCTTTCCCTCATTTTTCCTCTTTATTAAATATATTCCTCTTCCCCTTCACTCATCCTGTTCATTAGTTGTTTTTTTTTTAATTTCATTTTTTGGTACCCCTTTTCATAGAGGATTTCTCTCTCTCCCTTCATTATCAATCTTCTCCATTTACTCTAGACCCCCATTCTCTGGTTCATGACCCCTGTGATTGTCTTTGTTGTTGTTTAGTTATTTTCAGTCATTTCTGACTCTGTGATCCCATTTGGGGTTTTCTTGACAAAAATACTGGATTGTTTTGCTCTTTCCTTCTCCAGCTCATTTTACAGATGAGGAAACTGAGGCAAACAGGGTTAAGTGACTTGTCTAGGATCTCACAGCTAGTATATGTCTGAGGTCAGATTTCAACTCAGTTTTCCTGACTCCAGGCCTGGCACTCTATCCACTAAACCACTGAGTCCCTCTGGGTTCTCTCCCCTCCCCCACCTCAGACAGTTTCTGCCACTGCTTTATAAAGCTTGCTTTGTGTGTTTCCCTTTTCCATTGCACCTCATTCCTAGAAAAATACTAATTCTTGGAGATGACAGAGAAGACATTGCCCCATGACAGGGAATACCCTCCACACCATGTGCCTGATTATGTAGCCCACCATAGATCCATATACTCTCTCCCTTGTTACACTTTTCCCCCATTTGCCTCAAAATCTCCTCCCTGGATCCATACCCTTCCACTCCCCTAGGTGCCAATTGCCCCCAGAAGTTCCAGCTCCCCCCATCCT